ATTCGAAAGAACGCATTCACCAGAAAGGCCAGCATGGTGTACAGGCCACGACCCAGAGCACCGGTCTTGCTCATCTCTGTCGGAGGTATCGACAAACTCACGACACTCGAATAACTAACTCTAGAATGAGACGGCTTCAGAGCAAACCCTAACTAATCACCGATACTCGACATACGCACAGATACGACGAACTCAATGAACACAGCAATAAGCGAAAGTGATCTTCCTAGGGTGTAAGTTTAGAAAAAAAAGTGATTGCTGCAACCAGACAGGACAGAAACATTTCGTTCGTACTCATTCAATGCAGTGCTATAAAGATTCATAGAAGAGAAGAACAGTAGAGGCTCAGAGATAAAATATACGCGATGCGAAGAAAAAACTTATGGATCTTAAAAAGAATCAGAGAGTATGAGTTTAAACTAGGTCCATCTGATGTGAAATCTAGCTAACAACAGTAGTGCTTTAGAGGACACTACTATGAGCTAAGACAAACCAAGATCAAGATCCGCAACAGAGCACAGTTTGGTTCGGAAATATAAGGAAACGGCGAGAATGGAAGACTACTCAGCAAAACCCATAAACAAATAGCATTCGGGTATGTGGGTAATCAATAGCCGACCACGTTCCCTACCTCTTCAGATCCATACATATGTGACCAGAAAATCAGAGCAATTCTATTTGGAAAAATACTCAAGCGTTTTACATAACTACATCTACCGACAGCTCATGAAACAATAGTAGGCAGACAAAGCGTGGTTCCACCTAGCTCGCGCCATTCCTAGACCGATCTAAAGCAATCTCGTCTTTATCAACGTCTTCTTTCAATGAAAAAATAAATCGAAGACTGTTGATGGTTTTCGAACAAGACCAAGGTCAAACCTCGATGTAAATCTAATAAAAATCCGATAAAAACATCTTCCTATTGAATGTTCAAGGTCCCACTGTCAGAATCAAGAGAAGGAACAGTCAAGATATGGTTAAAATAACAACTTATTTCATACCAACTTTACCTTAGCTAACAAGCGCTTCTTTGAAAATGAGCCCATTTAAGGTATTACATATCGACTTCGAATCGAAAAACAACATGTAGTACAGTTACCATTTCAAGAAAAGCCCCAGGTCCACCATGTAGGCCAAAAGGAAGGGATATGTTTAAAGACATACGGGTCTTATGTAATGTTTTCCTATTTACAAACGCCATTTGTTTAACTTCCAGTGTCATAATGAGTTATGTGACACGGTTCCAAAGTGACTAAAAAGACTGATTCATAGCAGAAAAACGGAACCCTTCTATTTCAAAAACCGAAAGGATTGAAACCAAAAATATTATGGACGTCTTCAAGTTGATAATTCTTTGATAGAGTAACACCGCTTCTTTGTAACCACGTTTTTCTTAACATATCCCTTCACTGTTGACCACTAGAATAGCCCTCATCAACCTTTACGACATCAAAACAACGCTTAAAATCAAAGCAGGCGCAAAATAGCTAGTATTCTGTTATCTAGAGACCCAAAATAAGCTGCTGCCAGTATGTGATTCATATCTGACAGGCAAACAGAACTCTCTTATTCAACAATCGAAAGAATTGAGACCAAGGTATTCTGAACGTCTCGTGATCGATTTTTCTTTGATCCAGTAGACAATCGTCATATTTCAACAATTAGAATGTTACATGCATGAGTGCCAAAATCCTCTAAGACCCTTCAATTCTGACTGATAGTTGTCGGTCAAAAATCTGCTCGAATCGATATAAAGTTTAACCGGAGCACAATGAAGGACGTCAAGCAGAGCTGCACGGTCACAAGTTCATAGGGACTGCACCATGCCCACTTAATATCTCTCCTCTCTATTTCGTATAAAAACATTTGCTTTACATTTCTTAAGGTGGTTAAGGTGCTTCCCGATAACCTATCGGGTCATTTGACATCAAATGCACTATAGTTAAAAGTGAGATAAAAGCGCAATAAAATCGTTAGAATGTACGAATCTGCACGTAGGTTTCTTTGGAACGGTGAAGTCTTGACAGTGTTCTTCCAGCACCTCTTTACTTGCAGAGGAGTACACTCTATAGGTGCGATCAATGCTCTGGAGGACAGAAACAGATAGACGTTGTCTACGCTTAACGCCAACGGAAAATGAAATCACAGATTAGCTCTGTTCGCTCTAAGCAGAAAAACTGAAAACCTCAAGCACTACTGTTACTGAAGATAAATCGGATTGTAACGACGATGAATAGAGAAGGGTCGTGATATTTACGACATCGAAGGAGAATCGCGATTGTGAAACAGCACAATCATGATGACACACGTCCCATTGCCGTCAATCATTGTGGAATACACAGACAGCGACGGATGAAAACATCTGTCTACGTCGGGATTCCAGCGCTGACTTTGATTAGAGTGAAATGGACAGAAACAGATGCAGGAACGGATCGGCATCTATGGATACCCAGTGAATCGAGCTGCTCGTCGACTCGAGGTCAAAGAATGCCCGCCCACTTCGCGAGTGATCTACGATCGCGCGGCGCAGCGCCAAATTTGCTTGAATTATGGGACGATTTGCGTCAAATCGAAGAACTACTGCCTAATTCCCTTATATATTCTCAGAACAGAAAAGGTAGTGAATCTGAAGGTCCAAAAACGGGACAGATTTGCTTAAACATGTATTCCTTCACCAATAAGCCTGCACGAGGTCGATAAACAATCCATTTGTTTAAATCACAATGTAAGCCACCGGAAAAGGTAATACCGAGGTTCGATCCCACCCGCACACACGTGTGGTCCGGAATTTTGCAAATATCTCAGAAACATTGCAGTTGTAATTCATTTCCTTATCTGTTTGTGTTTATCAACATTTGTTTATCGACCTCGTGTAAGCTTATAATCGAAAGAATACGTATTGATTATACATGAGGTTAGAGTAAACTCGGTTTCGAAATTATTGATTTAGTTCCGAACTAATTCACAAACATTGAAACATTTTCGAAGAAAATGGTCAATGTGAACAACTGTGTCTATTGTTTACCAAGACAGCCTACTTTCAGAGTTAATTTCTTGGCCTACGAAAGAAAAGAGATTCGAAATTACCAGAACATGACTGCGGGTTACAATTACAACCTTTCTGCACACAGAGAATGCAAAACCACCCTGTTCGGCTATCTGTCAAAGTCACCCGCAACGATCACAAGATGACATCGTAATATGTTTTGATGCTATTACACTATTTCTCAAATAAACTAAAGAAGTTGGAAATGAACAGTTCAATACAATTCTGGATACCTATAAGGAAATATCCGAGGTTTGGAGGGCTAACATGAAACAACCGAGTTCGGAAGGCAAACGTCCACGAGCGCAGTTAAACACAAAGAATCGAAGAAAGACCAGCATTGCAAATAACATTCAATTTCGAAACACTGAGAAAAAGATGTACTTTCAAACCAACGGTCACTTAAGCTCGGTAATAAAATAATCAACATGTGTACCAATTTCTGAGCTTGCACGAGGTTGACGAAATAGTTTTAATTGGCTAACGTTTGCATGACCTCGTCTTCATCAGCGCGGATGATCCGAGTCATTTAAAGAGCCAGAGTCAGAGTTCCCGAGTTCTAAGTCATCAGAGCTATTTAAAAAGACGTGTTCAAAGAATATATCCCAAGTATTCCACATTCCAGAAATAATTTTCAGGAATACGGACCATTTAATCCACAAATGATAACAAATATTGAATGAATGGAAAGTATAACATTTAAAAATTTGGTACAGACTTGAAAAACGCAAGACATTTACGCGGATTTCTCTTAAAGGTCGGCACAGGAAAACCCAAAAATGAACATCTTGCCCTTAAAAAGGTGCACACTAACTTCCTCATTCGACAATCTGATCAGATGTAGATTATGTGAGTTCTACATCAGAGAAAAACACTTTCAAAGACTTAACCAATACTCTGGTAGAAATAAAGTGTGGTCGATATAAGTGGTAGATGAGATTCCGATGACCAGAGACATGAACGTATAATGTGCATAGCAACAACAACAACGGTCTCCATACCCCAATCATGCGGGGATAATCGAGTCACGGACAATATGCTAATGAGAGTGAACGTTGGTCAACGTAGAATGGCAAATAAGCATAGCATGATGGACGATGAGATGAGTTGGACGACGAAAATGAAGACATAACGATGTCATGAGAACAACCCAAGGGAAAAGAATCAATTCATGATCACAATAACAAACAACTACAACAAGTTTCGTTGTCATTGACACAACTTCCTTTGTGGTGTCCAGATGGAAAACATGACCTCGCATCGATTTCTAGCCGAGACAACATCTCCGGGCAAATCGCCCGCCTCCGCCGCCCGCTCTCTCCCGACCGCCCGCCAGCTCGCCCGCCGGCTTTTCCCTCTCCTTCGTCGGGGGCAGCGATGGCGAATGGGGAATTACGAATGATTGCGAAAGCAACACTACACGACACTGATGGCTATTTATGGCCGACTGAGCAAGTCGCTAGTGCTCCGGCTGAAAGAACTCATTTGTTGGCAGTCGGCCAGCTATCGAATTTTCTAGGCGGTGGCGCGACGACAATTGGTGCGCTATATGAGTCATCGAGACGTTTAATGAGTGCCTACATGTAGGGGCGACAACAAAGTGTTTGATTCCTTCGAAGATATGAGCCGAACCGAGCCGATTAAGATGTAAACGAATCCAGCAGTTTCACACAGACTCATAGAATCCACTGAATATTATGGTGCGGTTGAAACGACAACATAGTGTTCTGGGTACATTTTACTAGCATTCATCTCCTGATTACACCACAGAACCTCCATTGGTAACTAACTAATTTGTTATCGTCTCAGCTTTTGGATGTACAGAATCGGCTTCCTTGTTATTCGTGGACCAAAGTAAAAAATGACACCTATTCATTCTATAGACGTGTTTGATGAATTAATCCAATGAAATACGGAAATTTTTGCACTTTGTTAGTCGTGAAGAGAATTCCGTCTAAACATCGAAACTGAACATACTGTAAGGATCCATCGTTTTAAAATCAATCCATGGATCCTTGGATCCCCCTTGTGTCAGACTGCTATGTTTCAGAATCGAGTGAAGACCATCATGGTGAGCTGGAATGCCGTTCATAAAACTAGTTAAAACTTCTATCATTATGGTTAGAAACGATTGTAGGACTCACGGTGTGAGGTAGCGTGTGAGCCATGAGCCAAACTAAACGCCGATGGCTTCACATTCTCCTCGCTTATGTCTTTCGGTGGTGTTGGAGGACGTGGTTGAGTTCCGAAGACACTGAAGCATTTCCAACATTGTCAGTGTTTCCGTATCAATAATATAAGCTCCCAAAAGTCCATACTAAAGAACGTAAACGCTTCATGCTTAGACATACTGAGATGGGAATGCTTCATGCTGATCCAGATTGAAATTGTCTTCGCTGAGAATCTCCGCCTTCTACAAAGTACAATACTCATACTCATACTCAATACTCATTACGAGCACCAATAAAATTATCAGTATCCTGGGAGCATCTTGGTTTGAAAAAAAAGTGTTTTAATAGCATTTAACTACGATCTGAATGCAAAAGATGGAAACAGCACTTCCTAAGGAACAGTGGAGAGTGTGCAAAAATTCATTCCCAAAAATGACGTTTTTGGGGAATATAATAAAAATGGAGGGTTTTAAGAATATGGAACTGCAGGTACTAACCAAAAACAAGAAGATTTACATACTTCAGGTACTTCGGGTATAGTTAGTGGGCCACGGCGATTGAACGTTGACTCCTCTACGTCGGGCGTTCGGCTACGGAAATCGGGCTGATCTGCGTCGGAATCGTCTGGAGAGTGATGTACGTCGTATCCTAAACTTTGTACGAGAAGTGTGCTAGATAGTACGGAATGAATGACCAAAGCCAAGATTAACATTGAATTCACTACCAATGCCGCTGGTCGAATCTGGAAAATCGCCAGAAATATCTGTATTTGTTGAGAAACGACTTCATATTTATTAATAGAAGTTTTCCCTCTATTATAAGTACTACATATGAGCTAGGGAACAGCTAAGGTATCAGCTAGAAGACCTAGCCTTTACAGTACTTAGCCGACATTTCTAGAAATATGGACAAAGTAAGAGCAAAGCTATTCCCCACCGCAGACACCTGCGGTCCAGAGTTTTCCAAATATCTCAACACCACTGTGGTTAAGAGCATCGGTTCGAAATCGGTACTGCGGTTGAAGATTTCCTGCGATTTTAGACCATAACTCGAAAATAATTTAGGAAATGAAGATGGAATGGGAACCCTAGATATTTTTGAAGAATGATGTATTCCTGAAGAATGACCTATTCGTTTAGATATATTGACACTACTTAGTACTACTTGGTTATTTCCTTAAATATCCAGTTGATCACCAGTTATATTGGAAAAAATGGACGTTTCTGGATACTTCATCTACTCATGATTTAATCCATAACAGATAACGATCATAACAGACCGAAAAAAAGAGCAGTCATAGGAGAAAAACAGAAAGAAGACAAAAGCAATGAAAAAAATGTACGCCTTCAGTAGAAGAAGTAAACGTTCAAAACCATTTTGTAGGGCAGACGTACGATGAAAATAGATCCATCGAGTGTGTTCTCATTATTTCTACAAACACATTGCTAGATGATTGGTTCTCATAACTCGCTTGCGGCTTGAACATCTATCACTATTTCCCCTACTTGAGGTACTGAACACAGGTCTAGGGTGGCTTTTTATTCAATCTCGATGTAACTGTACTGGAACATTCCAAAGTATTCATCACACGCGGCCGTAAGCACTTGTCGGTCCGGGAAAGGTTTGCTCACTTAAAATCCGGATTCGTGCAGGACTGCAGTGACAACTTCGCACTGGCAAGTGCAAAAACTGGAGAATAGTTTTTGTGTGTAGTTAAACGAATGGTTCACTGATATAGCAAAGATTGCGAAGTTACCCAAGTGAAAAATCGAAGCAAAGTCGCTGTCAAAATATGTGGAGCGCCATGATAGATATCTTTAAAAAAAACTTCCCTGTATCAAAGAGATCATGGCTGAGGAGCATTTGGCAAATTTTTCAACTTCTTGAATTTCCGTTTTACCGGGCAGTTTAACAAACCAAAATAGAAGAGTGTTTTGTAGCTAAACCTGGTTTTGGAATTGTATGAAAACTCTACAGTCCAGAGAATTAAATCCTGTCTCTATCCTCCTTGTATAACGAAATATGTACTACTATTACTTAATTGGTTTTATGACTGAATGCTTACGATCTCCAGGCATGTCATGTTTCGTCTCGGCGTTTTCCTGTACTCTGTGCAGAATTTCATCCACATCGCCGTGCACCTCAGCTACTTGGTCCTCGATCAACTGATCTAAAGGCACTCCACCACGACCGACAGGTTCAAACGGCACGTCTAGAACACGGTTACACCTCTGAGCATCGCTTTCTTCAGAGAGAACAGAATATTAGTTATTTTTACTACGACTTGTCACAATTTTAAACAGACGACCATTGTAAGAGTGATGTTTCGTGAGCAGTCCATTCACATTATCTTACTATAGGAACCACTTTTCTTGATCATCAATGACAAATCTCCTCAATATTTAATCAAAGTTCAACAAACTGGTCAAAATTCCCAGCTCCTCTTTTGTGCTTAATACTGGAATATTCGTTTTACTTCCTTATAAGTTAGTAGGAGAACACTGAAAGATTATAGACGATATAATCGCATCAACACCAAAGACAGAAAAACACACCACCATGAGTAGAATGGAAATGATCATGAGCTGGTTGCGTATCAGCTTGTCTGCTCTCTACTGGCTTCGGATCCTGAAGCAGAAACTTGAGAAGAACGATAGTAGTCGAAAAATATCTGTACTTTATTGTGAAATAATATTATTTTATTATTATGAAATACTTAAAGCATTTCATCCTGTTGAGCAGCAAAAGGTGAACCTTTCTGAATGGTAAAATATACGCAAATAATGAAGTACAAAAACTATTGAAAATAAGCTGTGTGTTAATATACAGTTAATCATATCAACTCTGTCCATCCGTATTCAAAAAACTTCTATTTGCTATGTACGTTTCATGATAGGGCGCACGTAGCGTAGTGGTTAGAGATGGCTTGCAATACACATGGATCGATCCCGCGCCCCAGGATTACCGAACCTTCCATTCTCCCGGGCGGACTCGGCAAGTTGCTACCAGACTTATCTTGGAGGATAACAACACCGGCTCGAAATATCGGCAAGCCACTGCTAGGTGAATATATAGGCCAGGTATGCATTCAATCATCTCTAACGATGCTTAATGAAGACGAATGTATGGCGTATCCCTCAGGGATTGATCAACGCCAAAAGCTTCTTTCCGTACACACGTCTCCAAACGATTCTGCTACATATATATATATACACATGTATGTAGATACGTGTATGTATGTACATATATGTAAATATATATATATATGTATGGGTATATATGTGGCGGCAGCCACGGCAGTCGAACGAATGCTATCCAATCAGCGTTGATCGACAAACGAAAACGCATTTCCACTGGTCCCTTACGATCTTCACTGGGAAACGGATTTCACAACGTGACAAAGCGATACACTTTCAGTTGCAGTGAATGAAGAAATTACTTGTACGAAACGAAAGCGGCACATATATTTATAGAAAATCTCTAGCAAATCTTTGTTTGGCTGAGAGGCCATTACCTTTTTGAGGGGCACCAGTAAATCGGAGATAATGATCAAAGACTCGACGAAAAGGCAAGTAGGATTGCACCATGTATGTCAGAAAAAAAACCATTTCATAAACAGCCATGGTGCGAAGATAAATAGATCGAACTGAATGGCCTCTGGTAACAGAAACCATATTTTAGACCCACGAATGGCAACTGACGAATAGGGACAATAGCGTCAAAGAAGAATTGTACATAAGAAGAAGAACGTAACTGGCTGCGTTCTAACCTCGCGCAACACTCATCTAACCGATCGAAAACTCTGTGATGCATTTTTGACCCAAGGGACTTCTCGATGTGGAGCAGAAATTGTGGTTGAGACTTTAACCATTTCAAAACTTCTGCGCGTTAGCTACAGAATGCGTGAACAATATCTTATAAAATACAACCACCATATACAACATAGAGCCTGATGGCGCAGTCCAAACCGTCGAAAACTATCACTATGTGGTGAAAAGAGTTGACAGATGGACGAGAAGATCGATAGAATGGTCCACATAATGATTCTCCCGCGCTCTAGGACGGCCACCTACAGTATGGACGAATGTGCTTGTAGCCAACATGAACCAGCTGTTTCTGCGTATCTAAGTGCTTTTCAATCCATAAAGTGGTGGTCCCCACATACGTCGTCGTATTCAAAGAAATCCATCACCACTGAAAGCAAAGAATCGGACAGAAAATGCGATAGGAGCAATATTTCTGGTCAGAGGCCGTCTGTGTAAGTGTAGTGCCCACTCGTTACACGATTATATACGGGGTCGTCAACTACCCAACGGCATTTTCATTGCAAAACTGTATTTATTCATGAATCATTGAACTCTGGTAAAGGAATTGAAAATCCAGTACAGAAGACTTGAAAAACGTGCGCTGTAATTAACAGGGATTTTGCTGATGATAAACAATGCTCTACGTTTTCATTACGTTTCTCTTTCACTTACTAGACTGGCCATGTGTATCTTTCATTACGAAATCGTATCTCAATTTTCACTCTTTAGTTCTACTAGTGAATAAAAATAAAAAAATCAATAAATATATTTCCTATTTACATTTCGTTCGACCTAGCACTATTGAGGAAATTCATGCGCATCGCTTCATGTTGATAAACGATGTGACTTGCACCGCAGTTGGAAAAAAAAGCAGAAAAACTCTGTATGAAAAGCAATTAAGCAGAATTGTTCCAGGCTGCTGTAAAGCAGCTTTTACAATGCAAATGAAATTCAAACTTTTAGTAACAATATACTGATAATGCTGATAATGTGACGAAACGGATTTGATAAGAAAACGCGCTGGACGAAGTGAAGAAGAATTTCTAATGGTCCAGAAATACTGAAGGAAAGCTGGGCGAATAGGAAAAAAGAAACAAAAACGACAACTTACGTGAATATCATGAGGTGTGTCGCCACCAGAATCGTCCAGATTTGGTGTGCCGCTAGGCTTTGTTTCTCCGAAAAGCTCGCCTTTAAAAAAATGCAGTAGCGAAAGCTCTGGATAAAAATACAACAGTAGAATTTTAAAAATTACAAATACAGAAACACATTGTTCCAACATGCTCAAACGTTTCCGATAGATATCATAAAATCCGGATTATTACAAAAAAAAAAAAATAAATGCGAAAAAGAACGTTCTGTAACCGTAGTAGAAAACGTCAGTGGGAGCGCATAGCGCGGTGAATGAAGATGTCCCGGAATACACACGTGGTCTTTGGCTCGAGCTCGCGCCCCGCGCTCAGCAAGCCTACCATCCTTCCGCGATCGGCAAAGTAATACCAGATTTGTTCGGAAAGGGAGGACATTAGCACAGGCTGCATACATTGGTAGGCCACTACAAGTCACCGTATGGGCCAGATATGCATTCATTCACCTCCAACGATGCTTAGTGAAGTCGAATCCCTGAGGGAATGATCAACGCCGACGGCTTTATTCTTTACACCATTGCTAGAAAACATTATTCTGTAAAAATACACAAAATTAACTTTAAAATACACTGCTGTATGAGTGCTGTATATAGAAGTTCATTTAAAACTACTAGGTTAGGTTATAAGAAAATGGACGTAGGAATATAGAGCAGCTTCACGAACGAAACAGAGGAGAAGGAAGTTCTAACTTATCACAGGAACTACGAAACTTAGAACTACTTTGGCACGGTATCACTCATCGGACCGCACAGAATAAGAATCGTTCCCTAGCTGTGAAATTGCAACAGATGCCTAGACCCTTCTGTTTACTTAAATCTCAAATTTGCTCCTACTTTGATGAAAATAGCTTTAGTTGCTGTACAGCTTTCAATAAAACCTATTGCGCGGAAAGCGCCAATGGGTTTACCCGTCCAACTAATTCTCCGCTAAAATCGTAACTAAATACACCCACACAGCGATGACACGTTCTCAGAGTCCATCATCCAAAACAACTCTGTCAAAACTAGAGGCTTCTTGGCCAATAAATTTCCTTCCCTCTAGAGATGATTTTTGCTAGATAGTCATGCCGTATTATACTACAAAGCACTACGCCTGGGCCGAGGCAGCAATGTTCATGAATGTCTGCTACGTCCAGAGGAAAACACACTCAACTATGTTTGCAGAGCAGTTGTTTTAACAAGAAATTGTTGATGAAAACTACAACTTAAGATTTGGTCGGATTTCTTCGCTTGTTAAACCAGAAAACCTTGTTATATCTCATAATTACAATTGAGCCAAAGACTCTGTAGGGAAGTGGAAAATGAAGGAGTGGATGTGAAAATATCATATTTCAAATATCTTGTTAGTTCGCTGCCCAAAAATTCATCGTTCTGTTTTGAAAAAAGAAATCCATTGATACAACCCTTTTCTAAACGACGAAGTTGAAAATAAAACATTGAAAACTTCTCAAATTAGGTTATGCATTGCATTTTTATCCTTTATTTCGATTTTAAGGCAAGGTGAGACCATTTTGTGCACACCTTTACATTTTACCCAATTATCCTTCCTTATGTAAAGGATCTGGTGATCCAGTTAACCGTAAAGTTATCTATCCCGTCCCCAAGAGAACGAATGGGAGTTCAGCGCCTGTAAAAAGCGACTACGTGGTATCTCTGATATGTGGGTGGTTTCCGTGAACCGTATCCCTGTTCCTGATAAGTCGGATTGTCTTTCGGTTCTAGCATACACACAAAAGTTTTCATGCGTTGGTGCGTGCATGTGCCCGTGTGAACGCGATTTGTGTCGTGGATGTGGATTTGAGCAAAAGTCCCCACGTACACCTTACTGACACTCTCTAGAGAGACTTTAGCTAACATAGGTGATGTCCTTGGTACTTTATCAACTTCAAACATGATTAACCTAGGTGACCTTTTCTCTGCTAAACTTTATCACTACGATCAAGGTCAATGCAAAAGAAAACGGATGGGTATGCAGTTCATGAATTCCACTCTAGATTTAATACCGTAAGTGTCAATAATGATATACTTATAAAAGAGGAAAGCTGGCAGTTCATCTTCGGAACGAACCTTCAGCACTTGGTTTAGGTGGCTCTGGATGCGGTTCAATTTTAGGAATATCGATCAAATCGCCATATGTCTTTTCGAGCACATCGTCACGAGCAGAGGACATATCCTGACTCTGAAAACGAAGTGAATGAGTTCAAATGTTCACTTTGGTAGCTCGGCAATCCCAAGGAGAACCTGCGATTGGTTTTTATTTGATGTAGACAAGCTGGAAAAATTAGTAGATAGATAAATAAGGATATTCGGTAAACAGTTACAGCTTACAATGTATTTTCCATTCCAGTAATCGATAACGTGAAAAACTGAAAGTCTGTGGAACAGAACTTACAGGTTACAATACGCTCTTAACAAATGTGTCATAATTCGTTGCAAAATTTACCAGCACACGGTCTTCTTTGTTAAACTTGCAAGATAAGATTTAAGACCTCATTTGCTGGTGCATCATATGAAACAAGTCTGCAAAGGAGTTACGAAAAAGTTCAGGAATGTCAAGCCTGCTTTAGAGGTTAAATTTATTACTGTCAAAGTTTTCTTGCTAATGTAAATATAGGAAGAGAACTGGATTATGAGTAACTGGTATCTGCACGAAGAAAGAGACGACCTCGTTCAAGGCGGAGTTGGTAAGTGGTACTCACCCAGTCGCCATGAACCATAAAATGGGTTCCCTCCTGTGAAGTTTTTAGCTGGATTTATTATAAACAGTACTAAGCTATGTTAACAAACGTTTCAGCATTTCCACAATCTCATCGTTTTTGAAGAGCTTGGATAACCCATTACTTTCGGTCGTCACAATAAACCCCATAACTAGGTTGGTTAATTGTTTTTACCACAAATAAGGGTAAATTAGGCGAAAAATTACGGTGCAGGTGGAGACCTTACGTGCGGATAATGTTCCAGTTACCAACCAAAGCTCATAAAATGCAAAACGTGCATACTATTTGTCATAGACAACAGGTAAAATGGACCTCTGCAGGAATAGAAACCAAGGAAAATCGGTTGCTATTTCAAAGGTGTCCAGTTCCTCAGCTTAAGTACTTCGCCAGAAAAAAATTTAGATTCAACAAACACACTTGGGCAAAACAGTGGAATAATTATATTGGATGGAAATCTGCAGATTCGTAAGAGTGGTAATAAAGTCCTTTGTAATAATTCAGCGGTAGAACCGTAGGGAATATGAAACTATGAAAGAAATTGAACGAAGCAGTTATGAATTGTGTAATGGACCAACCCACTCAGAATTCTTGAGAACGCTAAATGAATCATCATCACTGGAAACAATGCTGCCATAAGCTTGAACTTCCTATGGAAAAATATTTTCCTTTATTTCATCAAGAGTTTCTCTCGTTCAGCCTATTAAATAATCCTCGCATGGCAGGTCGACTATTCGTGGGAATCGTTCTCGTCTCGCAAAAAATCGCACGACAACGGAATGCTTCTAATCCATTTGGGTCCGCTGCTGTTCTAGGAATCAAGAAAAGGGTAGGCTAGTCTAGTATGTCAATGAAGACTAAAGACGTCAGATTTTCAAATCGAACACGTCAATGAACCTGACCACCACCAATGACGATAGTTAATATTTAAAAGAGAATGAAGTGAATGGTGGATGTAAAGAGGCTCGTACTTCACGTGAGGACGGACCATCCAAGCAGAACTAAATTTTGAAGGATATAACTCAATACATTCTCCCTCAATGAGCCTTCTGCATTTCTTGACACCATCATCTTAAACATAAATGTGAACTAACTCGATAAAACCTTGTATATCTCACTGACATTTCACTATTTCAACAGCAAAATCCATTTAATTTGGAAGCATACATTGCTCACTGCAGGCCTCTTACAAAAAATTAACGCAAATGTTTCTCTTCATCACCATTTAGGTGCTCTTAGCTATCAAACGAGGGCGAACCACGTATGCCATCCCCGAAAATCAATGTCTGGTGGGTTATACCTTGTTGCGACGAGGTGAGCGAAGGTTTGCATGGTTTATCCGCGTCCAGAGGAAAAACTCTTCCCCGATCAGCGTATCACCAGTCAAAAAAGTGCTGGTATCCGCGCAAATTTTTATAAATATAGACTATTGAAGTAAGTTCCTAACTTTCAATTCATTGGCCATTCAAAGTTCGGACGAAATCAATTGTAGAAAAGACGTGGTGGATTGAAATGCTTGAATTTTGCCATTCGGTTTCTCTTTCCGATTAGTGTTTTTATAACAGCATATACAAAGCTTTCCGCAATCTAACGCGACAAGCTACCGTTTCACAACTTGGTAATTACTTTATACTTGAATGGCCCGTCCTCACTGGTTGTGCCGGCTCCAGCATAATCTTCATTTCTCAGAGATTTGCTGGTTAAGCCATCATGGTTTCCTGGAGTCCCGAGGTCAGCCTTCAAAATCACATTCATCCAATCTTTTCGCCGCTCAGAAAACGAGCCTCGATGAAATACAAAAAAAAGGATGGGTGGACCACAGGAAGTGTTTTATCGCAATAAAATAAGAGAACTCTTATCTAATTGGAAAAATGACAAGTTTGCAATCTGTTTCACCTTAGCTAATAAGTATGTCATGAATTTAGATGCTTTCAAAACTGAACGGTGGAATAAACTTCGAACCCGTGTGAATCACATATGTCTCATAAGATCGCGGATGTGAACCAGCCCTGTGCTGTACTGACCGGCGCAGGGTTCCAGCTCACTTCGGAGGTCCTTTATCACTATTATTGATGTAAAGAAGTAACCGTGTATGGCTTGAAAGGATCCGCTGTGGAATGAGTTCACACTCCAAGGATGCAGGCCGATATGTACTTTTTAGCCTAGATGAACCTACTAGAACGAACCTTTGTTTCTACAAGTAATTGGAAGTGATATCCTATGTGCTGCTAGATGAATTATTTATCTAAACTCGTTCCAGGTAAGCTTCCATGTTGTACATATTGAATAAAATAAGGGGAAAGTAAAATCAATAGGATGGTCGCCCAGCTGGTGTAATAGAAACATAACATGTTTACTGGATGAATCAACTAGACTATTTCGAAACATTAGTGACTCATGTACATAACACTATTCATAATTTAGCTGAAAAGGATATGTGGAAATAATAAACTAAAAAGGAAACAAATTTCGGCCTTGCCAGTATGCCAAAAAAGAGTTAGAGGAAAAACAAAAGTCGACGGAAATAAAAGGAAGGAAACAAAAACATAAGAGTATAGAAGGAAGAAATAATAGTTCAGGAACGTGCCTACCAATTTTTGGCACGAAAAACCAACAATAGACATTTCTGTTCTGAAAACCGGTCATATCCACGCGTTGTTTAATTCAGCGTCGAAAGCGCTGGAGCATATGAACTCGGAAAGGGTATTTTATTTTGAAGTCCGATATGATTTAATGAAAGCAAGGCGTTTATAATGCATTCTAGAAACGATGAAGATTGATTATTGCAATGTCCTCATGCCAAAGTTATGTGAATGAGAAAGAAAGACAGAAATACTTGATACTTAATACTTGAATGGCCCGTACTCACTGGTTGTGCGGGCCCCAGCATAATCTCCATTTTTCGGAGATTTGCTGGTTAAGCCATTATGGTTACCTGGAGTCCCGAGGTCAGCCTGGCCAAAGTCTGCCCCAGGTCTTCATCACCACGGGCAGTCGCAGCACTTGTGGATCTGAGAGAGATTCATCCCCATGCGACTTTGATACCAGGACGGTAGTGGACCCTGGTATTGGTTTACTCTTAGCTAGGCTTCCTGATGGAAACACCGGACTCCTCAGCTTGGGAGACCCTGCCATGGGATGAATCTCCCGCTGTACATCGCAGTCCGACACCCAGGAACACGTCTCCACCCACGATGAGGCGGTAAACCGTTGGGAGTGAATAGACAGAAATAGACGACGAAAAAGAGAACGAAAGAGGACTTGAGGAAGAGAGAGTCGAATAGACCGACAGAGAGAAAGATAAAGATAACGAAAGAAATCTCGAGTGGAAAAATAATGAGAAAGTTCTCTGATCAAATGAACGAACAGCTAGTCAGCCAGCCTATTCACGATCGAAGCAGCAATTTTCAACAGCGAAGCACATTTCAACGTTTTCACGTAAACAGAAAAAGATCGAACAGAATTGAACAGAGACGCTTTCGTAATAGGAACCAATAACACTGCTGTATTCGATGACGCCCAGAAACTGAACAATCCGATGCACAAGGAGCAAAGGAACGAGATATCAGCCGGCCAAGGTCAATCCTTAGTCAGTTGTACGGATTATTTTCAGACGAGGACAGATATTTTGTGAAAAAAGGAATACTTAAACTGAACTTTAGTTGAACTGAAACGATGTACTAGCCGCAATCCTTGATGATTCACTTCAAATCAGCTTAAAACGCGAACATAAATGCAAAGTTTTCATGGATCAAAGAAAAAAGTGAAAAGTTAGGTGTACAGAGTTCCACTTCCAACAGAACCATCAACAATATATACAAGGCAGAATATTGAAATGAATGCTTGAAGTTGTACTTCCGCGTTATTTAAATTTATCCCAATCCGTAAACGAGAATTCAAAACACTAAAAAGTAGATCCGGTACTCAAGACCAATGCTTACACACATTTCGCCCGCCACAGGACGATAAGAATCAAAACCAGAAGACGTTCTCTCGGTGATCTCACAGCAACCTCAGGAACAACAAAGTGTGCATAACTGTCAATTTATTGTTTCAAACAAAAAATCAATAAACTGGTGAAAAACGTTTCTGTTAGCAAGGCGCTATATCTAGTCCCTTTTTAAAGAGATAAGAACACTCACATACAGAAAACGTGAGATGAGAATTTATGATTAGGAAGACATGCACAAAACACAACGCCTAGCAAAAAGCTTGTATTAATTTGGCTAAGAATTCTGACATTCCTCACGAATATGCCGAATTCATCGTCCTCTTTTTCATGTTTTCATAAATGAAGAGCACCTTCGAGATGAGGAAACAAAAAGCAGAACACAAAAACAACCAAGCCATGCCTCGTAGACATCATCAGTTAACTTAGGAGGCTGATCGATGTTGTCGGGAATGCGGTCGAGAAGGTGTATTTCTTCACGTTCCGTCACTCTGAAAGAATTCCTGCCAACTAGCAGAAATCCAGCGTCCAATTCCAAATCACCCTGCAATAGTTAGCATGCAAAACTCAAAACATAGAACATGACACACCTTTAGATCGCTGGATTAATATGGCTAAAAATTTTGACTAATACTGTAGCAGTACTGGGTGCTAAGATAACCCCAGTGGGATGCGACCGTCTACACTTAGAAAATATATCCTTAAAATGCCCTTAGAAAGGCCTCTAGCTCTTTTTGAATTCACCATTGGCATCAGTATACTACAGTAAACACACCTATTTTCGACTGTTACTTGCAGCTTCACTTTAATTCTGCTAGCGATGCTGATTATTCAACCTAAATTCCCGGGATTAACTACGAGCAGAAGAGTATAGAATTCGGTTGCTACAAAACACGGTTAAAATATTTAAAATTACCTATTATAGTCCTGACTTTGAAACAAAGTCATAACAAGTAGCCTTAGCAGTGAAACGAATTCGAGAAATGGTTGAGAATTATCTCGTTTCTATGACACTAAAGTAACAAAAAAGGGCACGACGGTGTTTTTCAGGAGACAAATAATATAGTCATAGTGTTATAAATAAATGGCATAATAAACGTTGGCAGCTTGTAAGTGAAAAGCCACCTATAATTGTTTGTTGAAATCTCGTCTTCTTCAAAACATACTTGAAAGTTTGTCTGAAAGTGTTTACTCTTAACAGTTGCACATTTCGAAGACAACTGTTCAGGAATTATTTCAAAAACGACTTCCCTTTAACCTCGGTATTACTAACTAATCAATACGATCCAGGAATCAGCCATAGTCTCCCTCTGTTTCTTTTATATGCCACTGTCAGCTATGACGGCATTATACTTCACTTCCTTCCCAGTGATGTTTTATAAATTTCACTTCTTATTCCACAGTTGTATTCCCTGCATTCAAACGGAAGTTCAGTCAGACAAGGGCTGAAAACACCGCAGCGATTATTGTTGGCGGATCTCTAAGATACATCCGTTCTTGAAACGTCACAGTGTGAAACCCGTCCTGATTTGGTGTGTCGGTTCTATGATAGCCAAGAGGGTCACTCAAGAGTTCTTCTGAACTGCTGTTCGACTTCTACACATTTCCTACTACAAGGAGTATTTGATAATTACTAACTCGCTAAGGTACTTAAATCGTGTGTACGACGTATTTCTAATGAACTTAGCTTTCCAGAGCCCTTTCGTTTCAATGATACTTCTAACCGATAATTCTCGAAAAGTGACACCATCAGCAAAACACAAGACTAACGAGAATTCAGGATCTTTTCCGTATCTTGTCCGCATTATTTGCAGCAGTGTGACGGTGAACCTCATCAGCAAGACAACTTGCAGAACTGTTGCCTCACAGAAATCAAATCTCACACTTCATACGTTTTGTAATTAAACAAAGAAGACAATGCCGCTTCTGCACTTCATCACGTGAATGACATTTTCGTGAAGAACACCTACATGGTCCAACATTAATCAAGGCTACTTTGCAACATTTTCTGACCTAGCTGTATCACTTGTTATCTCACTAATCATCGAATAACTCAATCGGTAACCACTAAACTCAATTAGCGTCACCGTAGCACATCACAGCTGCTTAGTAGACTCCGTCTGCTCAATCAAGAAACACATGGAACATCTACTACAATGCTACCTTCGCGCAATTTGTAGCTAGCAGGCCACAACAGGTGGCTTGCCAATTTCCTCAATAGCATAGGTTTGCTGATAGCTAAGTTTCCAGATGGAAATCCCTGAACTTTTTCTTAGCTTAGGCCATTTTGCTCATGATAGACCACTGTTTAAGATCTCGATTTGATAGACATCCAGTAATGCCCCCGCCATACTGAGTCGGCAAAACATTAGGGTGAATGAAGGATTGAGATATAACTGAACAAAACATTAACTAAATCTATTCATTTTTTGTTGAACTTACCTTTCGGCCTATATAAATAAAGTCTACTGGGAATTTTCAAAAGAATACAAGCGCTAAACTTTAACACAGATAATTTTCAACAGTCAATATCAGTTAACTGTTGGAACTACTCCGCTGTCCTTTACTATCGATTTTTTTCTGTTAAACATCATGGTCGATGAATTCAAATCCTTATACGAAGTAAACCTTCTCCATTGAAGAGGACAATCCGGAATCTCTCTATCAAACAGAAACTCATCAGTACCAGGACCGTTTATCATCACCTGCTTCCTTGCTGCTAATCGAACTAAAGCAAAAACTCTCGCAAATGGTACCAAATACCTATGAGGAAGACGAGAGATCGGTATAACTTCATTAATTCAGAAGTGTGGGGTACCGAACGCGTCAATTGGGAACGAAGTTCTGAGTTCTATACGAATTATGTCATCTACACACCAAAGTAGGTATTAAACGACCTGAATTAAAAGAATTAAAGGGATAAAGCTCTCGGAGTTGATCAATCTCTGAGGGATGCGCCATGCATTCAACTTCATTAAGTATCGTTGAGGGTGATTGAATGCATATCTGGCCTTTACATGACTCGCGGTGGCCTACCGATGTACCGAGCCAGTGCTGCTATCCTCCGAGACAAGTCTGGGACCAATCTGCCAACCCCGGAGAGATGGAAGGTTTAGTCGGCCAACCACTGTGCCACACGCGCCCTACAGCTTGATTTACTAATCAATAATGCGCTAAAGTGTCTCCAATTAAAGCACAGCACCATGGAGTACCATTAAGAAAACGTTATGAAATTGAGGACTTCTAGAAGAAGGTCGCATTTTCTTTAAATGGAAGGAAAATAGGAAATGTGTCCAACGCAAGTAAAAGTGCAACCAATAGACCAACATTGAGAAGTAATTCTGCGTTTGTCCATGCTGTCAGCGCTTTCAGTACAATAGAAGATTAACTAAACATCGGAGGGAGTCGTTAGTTGCTCAAAGAAAAGAATCAATGCTAATGGACAAGCCCCAGTGACTCGTCTACTATGGCGTATTCCGAAGAAAAGTTTTTCACCCGGATAACAATGAGAGAGGGACATGTGTTACGCAATGGTTACAGGTGTCGTGACAATACGGGCCGAATCGATCGCTGGTTCGATCACGCGTCCGGGGCCACCAAACACTCCATGTGTCTGGGTCCGCACATTGGTATCACACATATATAGGATCATAGCTGCACAGAACTGACACACCTTTAAGCCACCGCATGTTATTGTACAGGCCAGATTTGCATTCAGCCAACTCTACGATGCTTGAAAAAATTGAATGAAAGCACATGCCCTAGGGATTAATCATCTCTGAACGCGTTACCTTTTTATTACCTAAGCCAGGCACATTCCTCACATATTTTAGAATCTGCACGGCTATTCTCCACTGGAAGACTTAAAAACAAGACAATAAGTGTTCAGAAGAAGCTGTTTACTATGCAAATGAAGCTTATGTAATAAGCGCTTTCTGCTCGGGCTATGGAAGTATTTGGCTGACTAGATTGCAGTAACTTGGATTTGCTACGCTTTGACGAAAGTAAAGTCATCGCAAAATCGGCCATTATCGAATAACTCTTGTTATTAAAAACCTCATGAATGTTCTAGAATGAAACACTGACTAAATGAACAATTCCGAGGTAGTTCCCAGGATCGACTTTCTCTTAACTTCGGCATTGGAATATGAATGTGTCGTTTTCTTGTTCAGCAATCGCGAGGTTTTTAAAACGGCTCTGAAGAAGGCGATACTGCCGAAACGTCAGCTAGCGTTGTATTGTATTGTGTTTTTATGGAAGTAAATGTAAGCTGTTTAAAAACCTCGCGATTGCTGAACAAGAAAACGACAAATTCCGAGGTAAATCGAGGTAAATAGAAAGTTGGCGCTCAGAATTGCTTTATCCTTTATTCATTTTGTCAAAATAGGTGTTTAACGGGGACGGAGGTGTATTCCCAACTAGCCGCTCAAGTCGTTAAACAGGCGAGAGATTCTACAATGGGCAAAAAAGAGTTGATCCAATAAAAGGCACTCATAGAATGTAAATATTATTAAGCAATGAAAGTGTAACGATCGAAATGACACATCATGCAAGCGGTATTTCAGGTTTTTACGATTTTAAACAAAGGCTGTGAGAAACAACGCCATTGGTTGAAAGCCGAACGAGCAACGCATAAATTTTCGGCGTCAAAAGTGACTAACATTCACCCAGTACCTCAACTGCCAACGCTATCTTCTGTAGGACCGTAGAGGGCAGTGAAAGGAAAAGGAATAAATTAATGCATTTTCGATTGTGCATGTTTCTCTACAACCGCTGTTCTGTTTGATAATCTAATGGCAAACGTGAAAAAAGGAAAGATTAAGACAAACCTACTTATTGATAATGACAAAATTTAATGAAGATAATGATAAACAGCTGCTCTGTAATTTCTCGATCAATAAAGCATTTGGAGAATTTAAAACTTCTAATAGAAGAGGCCTTAAGGCCCTAAGCGTACAGAATCCATCCCTAAAATTTTTAAAAAAATAAAACGAACTCGAAATGAATTTCTAAAGTTTTTGAAGCACCCATTGTAACCGGGAACATCAACAAGGCACTCGGGGACATCATCGTCTCCTCTGGACGAAATCAGGGCTATTCCTGCGCTTCATTATTGGAAACACAAACACTCACTGGCTGCAAGAAAAAATGAAAGAAAATCTTTGGATCTAGAAAATTAAAACTTTCTCTTGGTTAGACGAGAAAGCTACCACCTAGTTGGATAAATTAGAAAGATTTGAAGCTTTAATTCGATTCCATTCTAGTGAATAATGTTCATTTTTTCCAAGTCAGAATACGTCTTCTCAGGCATCTGGTGTACACGATAGCGAATGTATTACAGATGGTTCGAATTTGTTCACATAGCTAGAGAACTGGAGCTCAAGTATACAGCGCTTCGATAATAAAACTTTGAAGTTAAACGAAAACGAATCAGATTTCTTAAAGATTCCAATATCAGGACTGGATTCGTCATTCAGACTCAAACTCATACTTGCATTCGTTCAAACACTATGAGAAAAGTGTTTAGAAAAATCTCCCAGAGTCTTTGCAAAAGATTGGCAAGAAAAGTGATGAGTATTCTGGTATAAAGATGATGGTGCCCCCACAGACCTCTAAGACAGGAAACTGTGAACTTACACCGATTACGATGATTTAGAAATTATTACAAAATAAACGAAAAGACAATTTAACATTTTCTAGTAGAATCTTAGTACGAAAGTGGAGACTTTTCTTTTCACAACCTTAACCTTTTTATTTACTGCCTATTCCTTTTAACGGCAGAGTATTTTGAGAGATATAAGTATTGTAATGCTGAGATATTTGCAAAACTCCGGACCGCAGGTGTCTGCGGTGGGGAACGAACGCGCCATCGTCCTTTCCGGGGAGTAACGTGTTCGCCACCACACTATGCAGGTCCTTCGTTTCGCCTGTCTCTTAGCTACTAGTTTTATCGATCTTTTGATATCAGCAATCACCTGTCAACGGGATTGATCTGGGGAGCCCAAAAATCCAAAGAATAAAAAGGTTAAGATTGTGATTATAACTATAGCCTCAGCTTAACTGGGTTCAATGCCGATTTGGGCTTCCCAGATCAATCCCGTTGACGGGTGATTGCTGATAGCAAAAGATCGATAGAACTAGCTAAGAGACAGGCGAAACGAAAAACCTGCATGGTGTGGTGGCGAACATGTCTTGTGAAACATAATTATTAAAGGATAAACGATAAAGCGCTCAGCGTTGATCAATCCCTGAGAGATGCGCCATTCATCCAGCTTCACTAAGCATCGTTAGAGGTGAATGAATGAATATCTGACCTACACAACGACTTTAAGGTGGCCTACCGATGTATTAAAACGGCGCTGCTATTCTCCCAGAAAAGCTGGCCACAATTTGCCGATCCCGCAGAGATGAAAGGCTTAGTAAGCTCGAGGCGCCGGATCGAACCAAAAACCACGTTTGCTTCGTGGAGCACCTATAACCATTGCGCTACC